TATTGTGTTCCTTCGGCTTTATAGATTTTCCTTGCGTAATTTTCCCAGCAACCTTTTCATCGACGTTCTTTGGAGGTAATTTAGCTTTGGCACTTGTCGAACTGTCCGCTTCATCACTTACGTCTTTGTTCGAGGCTAGAGGTAGCTTACAATAAGCAGAATTGGCAACAGGTACTGCACATTTCCGTTCAAAATCCGTGTTGTATATCGTTTCTAAAACCAAAGACAATCAATTAGCAAAACCGCATTCAGTCATTATAAATTTAAACAGAGGGAAAATTTTATTGCAAGATTTTCTCGTCAAAAAATTTGTGTTCAGTTTTATTGTATACTGACATCTTACCAGTATTAACGTTAAAAAAATATATCAAATAAATGTTCTAAATCTACGGTTAACATATAAAGAATCGAATTCCGTAGTTTTGAATCAACAGAATATCTATGGAAGAAGAAAGAATTTACCAGCGATATCCATCTACCAGAATAACAAAAAACACTAACACTTATCTGAAATGAAGGACACCGAAATAAATGTTGATGAGAATGCCTTGGATCCGTTGCGTAAAAAAACTCTTAGTATATTCTGATGAATTCAACCATACTGCCGAAGTTCAACAAGCTCAAGGCGCTTCTCACCATGCCACTGTTCTGAAACACTTGCTTCATTTTCTTGCAAGAAATTTGGCTACATCTCATGGAGGATGAGAACATCTTAAGTTTGAAAACATTCATTTGCAACCGCCTTCGTTGTTTTGGTACATCAAGATAATTTACATCTTATGGCGGTAGTTTAATTTCTGCAAATACGATCTACAGTATATCGTAGGAGAATGCAGCCAAAGGTACCTACTGGGGCATTCCAGCACTTTCATGTGATAATTCCTGACTACTACAAATGCCCGGCGCTCTTGAATCCTATGGAAAAAAATCATTGCTGCGTTAGCCCCTATTTTAGCGGTGAACTGCATGTATTCACGGGCGACGTTAACCTAACGACCTGACCCCATTAATGGATATTGGTCTCACTAACCTGGTATTGACCCGTCCTAGTCAATGAGTAATAAAGACAACAGCTGCTCTGTGCAGATCTACTGTGACCGACCTAACTCACGTACTGCTGTACCATGCTTCCAGGAATGCCATTCGAAGCGGTTATCAAAAGTCCCTTGTACGTCTCTTGCAGATGTCTAACTGAAGCTTACCAAAAGTTACTCGAACACAAAAAAGAGGAACTGTCATTTTGGGCCAGGCTCTTGTCAACCTGATGTGGGTCCACTTTCACTGCTGGTTCTATTTTATGGTTTGTTCATTGTTATATCCAGGTTATAGCAACTTATCGCGTGTCATAGTGTTCACATAAGTAAATTTTGCTGCTTGACTGACAAATTCATGCGTTAGCAGGGTTTGAAGCTAATGCACGTATGCCAGACTGTTTAAAAGTGAAATCGCGCTTCTTTCCTAAACACTTCTTAAAAACGGGCACACAAAATATTTAATAGAATCAATATTCAAACGGCGTAAATTTGGTTCTGCCGTCTCGCTTGAGTGTAATATCTTGTGCCCTGGGCAAATTCTGGAAAATTCGACGGCTTTAATTTATTAATTAACTAATAGATTTAATTATTCATAACTCACTGTATTAACTGTATGACAGCAATATCGTGGGAAACTTATTATAAGTAAACACTGGATCCTCACCCCAGATTGAGACAGTCTCGTATATCCAACCTCGCGTAATAAATGCTAGCGCACTTATATTGACAAGGTCTATCGGACGCTATAAGCCAGGGTAAGTGAACGCATGAAAGTCACTCGGAATAGTAAGGCTGACAATTCTGGTACTGCTGTTTGTGCTATAAATCAACTAATTGCTTCACATAGCAGTTAACCGAAACAGAACTTATGCCGAATGTATTACACGGTTAAACGTTTTCGTGGTGTGGAGCTTAATTACATGCCTCTTCAAGAGCGAATCAAACGGTCTATCAGTCGTGTCTAACACCAACAAACCTTATCATTTACATATTGCATATATATAACGTCATATCATTATCAAATGATGCATTTCTTGGTTTTTCATGAAGCTAACCATTGAATCAGAGGATGAATCCGCTTCGATTTATCCACTGCAAGGTACTGAAATGAACTTAGAAGTACGTTTGGACTTGAAACTTACGTACTACAAGTATTTTTTAGGAAAGTAGGTAGATACTGCAGGCTTTCTATCATTTTTATACTTTTCTAATGAAAGAATCGTCTAACTACTTAAATGCCATGAAAAATTTCTTATTTTCTTAAATCCTCATGAAAAAATACGATCACAATCGAGGATCTTACTCTTTCTGATCTTCATCGGGAGGCAAGCATTTGGACTGAGTGCAGCAGTGGAACTGCGGATTTTTATCAGATGAACAACTTAAGACCATATGAATCCATATTCAAGATCTACCTTAACCAAATGCTGTCAAAGCAAGAGAAAATAATACTTGTTTACTTCAACTTTATAAAATCTGTTTCGTTTCAAAGGGTAACACAACACAGCCATACATGGAAACCATTGCATTATGCTCTGAAATGCTGCGCACTGAACAGGTAATAAAACTTTACTTGCTGAAAATCTTGATAAGACAATAAACGGAATTAATTCTTCCTGAAGGGCCTAAATTTTGATTTTTCATTCTCAAGTTTTAATCTTTCGCCTTAGAAGAAATCACCTAGGCAATCAGACAATGAAAATTACGAATTACCAATGAAAAAAAAATAAATACCTAATCGCAACAGAAATCTTGGAAGCTTGTCACACACCGCGTATCTGCCGGCTAACAGATCTTCGTGCATCTACGGAGCGCAACTGTAGAGGTAAAA